CATCTCATGACAACTCATCTCATCTCATTTAACTCATCTCATCTCAGCTCATCTTATCTAATCTCATCGCCTCTTATCTCAGCTCGTCTCAACTCATCTAATCTCATTTTAGCTCATCTAATCTAATCTAATCTCGTCTCATTTTAGCTCATTTCATCTCAGCTCATCTCAGCTCATCTATTCTCATCTAGTCTAATCTCATCTCATCTGTTCTCAACACATTACTTCTTATCCCATCTCATCTCATTATGTCTTACCTCAACTTATCACATGGCAACTCAGCCAATTGACAGCTGATCAAGAGCAATTTGCCGTCGTCTTCTGGCTGAACCGTACTTCGAATATCTTCAATCAACACTTTTACTCGAAATGGATGTAAGCTCAACAAGAATGATTTATGGCCTGATATTCGAGCCGTATACAAGTAATTGAAGATAGAATATTATTTCATACATAAATTTTAATCTAGCTTGCTTTACAAAGCAAAGCTTTACCTTCCAATATATACTGTTGTGTATCAACAGTTAATCGCTTTTTCTCGGAAAGTCAATATATAGAGATTTATTCAACCGCCTTTGTCCAAGTTAACCGAATAATTATTCTAGTGCCATATCCTGCCGATGCTGACTGTACTTTCTTTGTCCCGCAGTGACTGTGAACACCGAAAAGAGCGTTCTCGCGAAGCTGCGCGTTATCGTCGAGGCCGTGAAAACTTCGAGTTCTTCGAGTTGGCCAACTTGTTACCATTGCACACGGAGATTGCCAACCAGATGGACAAGGCTTCTATCGTCCGGCTCGCAGTCAGCTATCTGAAGTTACGTCACTTCTGCTCTTCAAACACTCTACCTCTTTCCTTACCCATTCCACCACAGCCGCATGAATACCCAACAAACCCTACCACTTATCAAGAGAAATCTTCGCTTTACAATCCATCTATACTTCTTTCTAGAACATCATTAGTATCAACAGAGGCGGCAGTAGCCCCATTCACAGTCGAATGGAATATAGCTGATCATCTTCCAATCACTTCTTCGGCTGACTCCAAATCCAAACCGCCTAGACTCGACGAGTTATCATATGAACCTGCTAGGTCTTCACAATCAGTCTCTTTGCCACCTGCGCCCGCGACGATAACATTTCCTCCTGAAGAAGCGATGGTATCAGCGGCAAGAACGAACTATGAGGCACCGGTACATCGGGAAATTTACCCGTCTGTCTCTTCAACAGAAGGTTGTACAAGTTTGCGATTCAATACGATAAATGGAAGCGAGACAGACCACCTGCTGAAGAAGCAACGTAACAATGGTATCAAGCAATGTCTGACCGTCTTTCTAGCGGAAAACTACCCTTATAGACCAATTTAATAAGCATTACAAGAATTTCGTTTGGCATAGCTTATAATTTGAATTTGGCCTCATTTTAACAAAATTTATTTTACATTTTTCGCTACTTGGTCGTGTGGTCAGGACTTACCATGTCCTAATTTCCAACTTCGGACTGTGCATTTGGTACATTTCTGGACAATTCACAAGCATAATGCTCATCGTGGTAGGTGAACTTTTGAACATTTCGTCAAAAATTCAAGTGAAATCCATCCCTTGAACATCTTTCTCAATGGTTGTAATAATTCTCTCTCTCTCTACATTCACCTATTCCATATATTCCAATCTTCCACCTTCATTCTTTCTGCTTATAACTGGCATATTCTGGTCTACTCTTGTGGTTTGAGCTGTTGAGTAGATTTAGTGACGGCTAAATGCATTTACCTCTGGTCTCCACCCCCCTTGTGTTGAGCAGGACGACTCAACTAAGTCTTTTTTCGTAAATGAGTAGGTTTTCGAGATTACAAGTAAAGCAGATATATGAGTTGTGTCCACCCATTTTTCGTCTAAGTCGATGAAGGACTGATGATTAAATTTTCCCAAAATGCTATCAGTAGAGATGATGTTTTCACTAAATTTCACATAGCATGCAGGATGTACTGCAGTTTCAACCCCTCAAGCGGGAGTCGAACCATGACAGTTCAACGTGTAAGTTCGACACGGTAACCACTCTGCCACATTGCCACGAGTGCCCTTGGGCCACAGAGCAGATGTGAATTTCAAGGAATGTCAGTCATTTCCATACGATGTGTTTCCACCTCCATTGTGATGAACAGGTTGACCCAACTTTGTATTTTTAATATGAGATGTATTCACTCTATTTCGTCTAAGGTGATGAATTTTCCCACAATCATATGAGTTGAGCTGACGTTTCAATTAAATTTCACATAGCCTTTATTTCTCAAAAGTTTTTTTATCCAGAGTGAACTTTTGGGAAAGCAAGGCTATGTGAAATTCAATGAAAACGTCAGCTCAACACATATGATTGTGGGAAAATTCTACTACCAGTCCTTTATCACCTTAAACGAAATATGGTGAATACATCTCATATTACTGATTTACTGGTAGTCTCGAAACTCTACTCCAATACGAAAATTAGTATTTTTAGTCTCCAATTTACTTCCCTGAACTGTCCGGTTCTGATCTCTCAAGTTCCGTTATTTTCCTTACTCACTGCCACCATATTCATGTTACCCGAGATATAGTTTTTCGTTATCTACCCTGAGCCTCTAGCCTAACCATGAAGGCCCCAGAAGCTTGGATTCTCGAGCTGAATGAAAGACTAAATTGACACTTTAATTTCTCTTATCTCAGTTCAGCCTGTGTACAGGGCAAATCCTGTGATCACAACTGTATCTCTTCTAACCATAATCGTCTACTGCATATCTCGAATGGATTTCTCTTATAAATAGCAACATGCATAATGTCTTTGTGGGCCAACTCTTAAATGTTTTCGCTGATTATCTGGTTTGAATAGGCTCAATATAGATGTCTTCTCTGAATTACAGATTTCCCATAGAGGTCCTTGTCTTTGCGATTTCTTTTATCCTTGTTCAAATACTTTCTTCCCCTAGTAACCGCTTCCTTGCCGCTTCCTGTGCTCACCGACTTTGATTAAGCACTATTCAAAGTAATCGCTAACTCTGTCTACTTCAAACCTTCTGTTCATTGAAGTTCCTTCCGCAATGACGTCGATGGCTTCCTAATATTCCCTTTCCTTGTGCTTTCATC